CAGTTGAGAGCCAGATGTGTTGAATTAAACCCTCTCACTGCATCCCACAGAGCCCCTGAGACTGCATTGGCTCGTAAATCGGCATGATCTACATCCAGAACAGACAGTGCAGTCAACTGTGGCTTGTTTCTGCTGTTAGCTGCTACCTCTTTCTTAGCTGCCACCTTTTTGGTTTTCGCACAATGACTCAGCAAACGTGCCAAAAAACATCTATTCTTTGAAGTCTTGTGGAGAAGAGGGGAAAACAATGTGGGAATGAGAGGGGAAGAAATGGATGAAGGAAGACCAGGGAAAGGCGGGAATAATTTCCATGTAAATTTTCCATGTGGTACAAATCTTATAATGACATAACCTCACGTGTTGCCGATTTGTTTCTTATGCAACTTTCCGGGAAGGTCTCTCCTTCTGAGATACAGATGGATAAAAAAAAATAAAGAAACATCTAGTAATTTAACTTGAATAACTTAACTTTAATTTGTTCTGAAAAATAAAAACCTGAAACTAAATACTTGGACTAACGGCTTTTGCTTACTTTTGAATATAAAGGATGTATCAAAGAGTACTGTAAAGGTTTTCAAAACGTTAATGAATTTGACTAAATAGGCTAGACTTAGAGAATATCAAAATGTGCTAAAACTATTGTAACATACTGTTCTTTGTTTATATGTGAAAAAGAAGGTGTGTCCCAGTGATGGAGGACGAGAGTTCGCAGGGTTTTTACGACTTATGTTGCGGGAGTATCTCAACTGAGGGGAAAATAAAAGTGAAGCAGAGACGCCGCTGGACACGCTATCTCATCTCCTGTCCTGTTTATTGTTTTTATAAATATTCCCACAGTATAGAAAAACCCAGAACGCTCGGCTGCACTATGAAATTCTTTAACCCCTTTTGAGGTTAAAGAAACCCAAAAAGAAACAGCTTTGATGTAGCTTGCAAATCTCTTTTAGATATGTAGCCTATAGTTAAAGCATTTATGTTGTAGCCTATGTTTGTTTTGCTTACAGATTTGAACAGATTTTTTAGCATTGTATTAAATTTAAAATATTTATGTTACAGTCTTAATTTTATGGGTTTTTTTAGACAAACTACATGGCGGCAGATTGCACCTCTTTACATGTTGAATCTCACACGTGCAAGCTGTTAGCTAACTGGTATAAGATTAGCAATTTCGCTAACTTGTGTAAAATTAGCAAGTGGCTTACTGGTGCAGGATTATCTAGTAGCTAACTGGTGTAAGGTTAACTAGTAGCTAACTAATGTAATGTTAGCTGGTGGCTAACTGGTGTAAGGTTAGCTGGTGGCTAACTGGTGTAAGATTAGCTGGTGACTAACTGGTGTCTGACACAAACCGTTTTTATGTTAGCAGTGACATTTAAAACAAACATGTCAGTTTACCAAATTACCGTATCGTTGAACCCCTTTAGAAAAGAAGCTTCCAATTACTTCAGCGTGGCTATATACATATATTAATGTAATAAACCTAATAAAAGCAGAAATAAAAACGTCTCACACATACTTAAAGCTAACTCCTGTGAGAACAGTAATGTAAGGCTAATCCTTGCACATCTGTGGAAGACTTATGAGAAAATGCATACATTGCTGGGACCAGCTATAGAAATTTAGACTGGGTGAAGCAGTATGAACAGCTCAGTGCTCTGAATATGATGTGGCTTACTGCTTCATCATCCTCTGTCACAGCACATAAACTAATAACAATATTCAGTTCCAGAGGGAGCCAATATAGAGAAACACTACACTGTTCTGCGCTTCCCCTCTCCTACAGTGCAGAATTTTTTTTATCCTTTTGTGTTGAAGGAACTTAATAACACTTGTAAACACTAGTTTCCAACATTGTGTTCAGCCTGACCCAATGATGGAGCCAGTGAGCACTGTCTATTCTTTCCTGTAGGATAAGTGAGTTGTAACTTGGGCTTCTATGTAGTTCAGTGTGTTCTCTGTGGTTACCCCAAATGGGGTAAGTCACATGACAAAAGGGAATATGTCTTAGACTATATCTGGAACATGGCCGCCATCCTCAAAGCCACCAATTCAATCAAGGGCAAGTTTTTTCAGATAGGAATTTGGTCATGTAAACTACCAGAAAAGACCAGAATTGTCTCAGAAAAAGTTCAGATTTGCAACCACTCGTTATTTAAAAGCTGTAAGCACAGACAGTTGCAACAACAACTGTGAACATTGCATGTGACGCGGCTATTTCCACCCGTTCACTGTGCTGTCCCTGGTGCTGAACATTTCAATCGGATCGGGGGAATCATTTTCTGAGGCAGTTATGATCAGCTTTGATAAGCTACACGACCACCTTCCAGTTGGAAGAAGGTTACCCTTACCCAATATAGCAGCTTACAGCAGGGTGACCAAATGAGCCCTTTTTGGTTAGCCAATCTACAGTTTGCTCAAGTCAGAAAATTCTTATTTATCTTGTAAATCTACCTCACATGTAACCCAATGTAGTTGAAATGTTACCATATTTTAAATGTGTATATTTTTGTTTCACGCTGATCTGACTTGCTTTGGCTCGATTAAAGGGGATGCAAAGGCAATATAAACTATAATTACTGAAGGATGAACGAAAACACGACTTTAGTTTTGGGATTTTATTGTAAATGTGTTTTACATAGTAGAACAGAGCAAAAAAATAATATTTTTGGGAACGCTTTTTAGTGTAAAGTGTCCACAGAGCGGATTCTTAAACAACTTCATCACACGTCGGAGATGCACCGCTATTACAGTTTTCACAAAAATGCGTTTGCGGTTGTATATTTTTGGACGAATCCTGGATGTATCGGGCCATAAGTCTATTTAACGACACGCTCTGTCAACACTTTACAAAAGAAATGTTTCCAAATCTTACACTTTGTATGCTAGTCATCATATTATGTACACTTTTCTTTACATTTCTAAAATCACTCACAATCACAGAAATTACCAGGAGGACGTCTGGGTTCTCCTCTCTTATGCATATACAGTATTTACATACATTCGTGGATCACATATAATACCCTTTGAGAAAAGCATGTCTTCGGTTTCCTTGGAAGGAATGCCTCAGAGTTAGGACACATCCTCCATACAGAGTCGGAGGCTGTGTACCAGACACTTGCAATGGTCTGAGCAAAAAAAAAAAAAAAACACTTAAAAAGGACGACAGAGTTGTTTCTTTTTTTTTAACGCGCTGAAATACTGAAGGTTAGGTTTCTGTTAACTTTATGGCACAGGACTCCTGTCTGAACTCGGCAGCCGTCTCTCCAGCTGAGGTGCAGAGTAACAGAACGGATCGGCCTGTTCGGGCCATGAAAAAGGACTCGACAAAGGACAGATGGTACTGTTTTCAGCTTTGCGAGTCTGTTAACTTAAGTAATCGTGTCTAATTACCTCCCACGAATCCATCCGAAACATTAAAATCTAACTTTTGCAAAGACGACAGTTCATTCTCTTAAATTAGGAAGGATGAGGGTAAAAGCAAAGAGGACTTGTCCGATGGGACCAGAACCCGGTGGCTTTGTCTCTTTCCTTCTCGTGCTTACATTGTGCGACAGTTCACATTAGTGCATCTATTTTGGCAAGCTGGGGTGGTTTAGTCACTTCGTATTTTGGGTACACAACTGCGGCCTCAACGTGATGGCACGACCCCCGGAACACATCCGATGCCGGAAAAAAAGGTTCTGAATGTGCGACTAGACGCTTGACAGCAGCGAGATGATTTAAATCAAGCTAAGGAGAGCATAAACAACACGGCCAAACAGGATAAAAATCATAAAACACAATTTGCTGCTCGTCACGAGATGAAGACACGTTTTTTTTTTTTTGTTTTCAACAGAGATGTTTTGCTGCACTGAAACTAATTGTGAATAAAGATGGCCCATAAAACGTCTTTTAATCTGACAAACAGTCTTGACAAGCAGAATAAAAGACCCAGTCAGACCACAGTGAAACAACACTAAATACTCAAAATTCTCAGTTGGGGCAGACAACCAAAAAATTTCATGTGTGCCAGTGCAAATTACACAGTGTCATGATCTACTATTGGGAGCAGTAAATCAACATGAACTTGAGCTTTGTTCTCATGTTTGCAGTTACTACAGTGTTTTTCCACTCGTGAGACTCAAAGACACTTTTTTCGTTTTGTAAAGGAATGTTCATGTATCTATTACTCTGCCATCTTTCGAGAAAGAATTAGAAAAAAAAAGGCATCAACCATCCCCATTTCCTCTTTGCAATATTGCTGATATGGACACAAAATTTCATTCAAGCCATAAAACGACATTAGATTTTGCTTTCAAAGAACATTTGGCTCAAGGAAAGTAAAAAGGGGGGGGCTAACAACAGTAGCAGGTCCCCCGGTGATATAAAACTTAAAAAGCTTTCGATTTACACGCGCAGCGAAGTGTAAAAATACTCTGCATAGCAAATCTGTTCTTTTAAAAATAGATCACCGACAAGATTTGAGAATGAAGGTGTAATATACAAGAAGCTTATTCCACGTGTGAGACGGCTGTGTCAAGTAACAGTTTTTCTGCCTTAGGTTTTACAGTCTTTTCCTCGCCACTAATAAATTATCACAGTACCATGAGTGCGCGTCACG